TGTCTCTGGTTGCAGGGACTTGGCATAATTTTTGGGTTGCGAAGGGTGTTCAAGGAATGCCTCTGGGTTAGAGGACTTCGCCGAAATTCCTTAGCAGGGGGGATTTGTCAACTAGAAAATATGAATCATACAAGTGAACAAGGGGGGATATATGTGTTCAGGTTGTACCCTCTAACAACATACAACTATCTAGCCTATCACTTCTACATAGCAACATATGTATAAGTTGACACACCCCCTAATGCAGAACAAGAAACATACAGCTCAGGGTGGCACTACTAGTCCAACCTCTGAGGCAAGGGTCGAAACACCAGTTAGCAAGGGTACAAACAAGAGAAGAGCAAACCAGGGTGGCACTACTAGTGCGACCACTGGAAGAGCAGCCACAAGGCCAGTCTGAAAGGTATAAATATAGAGGAGTACACAATCAAGGTCCTAGCAAGTGAGAGTCTACGGGAACTAGACCTAGTTGCAAGCAGTGCCGCTGATGATCTTTATGCGCAAGCGCCTTAGTAAAGATGTCAGCTGTGTTGGCACCGGAGGCCAAGTGTACTACGCGGGCTGTCGACACTGCTGTAGCTCGCGCAGGAGGAAGTACCGCAGATGAATGCGCTTCGCTCTGCCCTCAAGTTGAGGCTCCTGACACATGAGGATCATGGCCCTGTTGTCAGCGTACACGACCGGGGCAGAGCTAGGCCGCTCACCTCAGTCGGCATTGAGGAAGGTCAGCTAGCGGAGCTCCTGTGCCGCCATGGCACCGGCGTAGATCTCAGCCTCGCAGCTAGACTGGGCAACAGACGAGGAGCGAGTGGACCTCCACGAGATGGCACCAGAACCAAGGCTAAAGCAGTAGCCTGGGAGGACCTGAGGGTCTCAGCGTCGTCTGCCCAAGAAGCGTCTGTGTGTCCGGTAAGGACCATTGGCCTGCGTCCTCCCAGCACTAGCCCCATGCCCGATGTACTTGCACGATAACGCAAAACCCTCTTAGTGGCCGACCAGTGCTGTGGTCGGTGTCTGCTTGTGGCCACAAAGCGAGCCAGGATGCTGAGAGGGTATGCAAGATCTGGACGAGTCCAAGTCATCAGGTACATGAGGCAACCAACCAGCTCTGCGTAAGGACCGATGCGCTCTGCTGACTCCTCGGGAACTGGAGCTGAGAGCCTGTGGTCTACTGGCAGAAGTGTGGGCTGTGCGGAGGAGAACTGAAGACCCAACCTCTGAAGGACCTGACGCACCAAGTGTGACTGTGTAAGAGTGATGGTGCGCGCTGCTCTGTCCCTAGAGATCTGCAGGCCAAGGTAGCGACACAGCTCTCCTAGGTCAGTGCAGGTGTGTCTCCTTAGCAGCTCGGCCTTCACAGAGGCCAGTGCAACTCTTTTTGCAGTAGCGAAAACCAGGTCGTCTATGTAGTCAAGAATGTAGAACGGAGTCTGGCCAGCACAAATGAAGAGCGAAGGGTCTGCAGCGGACGGAAAGAACTGCAGGCCAGCTAGTGTAGCACGCAACGTGTCGTGCCACTCATGGGGTGCCTATCGCAGGCCGTAGACCGAGTGCCGGAGGAGCCATTGGGTCCCAGGAGGGAAGGTACCGGTGAAGCCCTGAGGACGGCGCAGGTTGACCTGCTCGTGCAGGCTGCCCTGAAGAAACGCAGTGGAGAAGTCGAGGGAGTGAAGCTCGTAGTCACGCTGTGCTGCTACGTGTAGCAGCACCCGAAGAGTAGTCATCTTCGGGGTCGGGGCGAAGGTTTGAAAGAAGTCCATCCCCTCTCGCTGACTGAAGCCTCTAGCCACGTAGCGCGCCTTGAACACCGGCGGCTCTCCAGGGGGGCGCTTCACCTTGAAGAGCCACCGGCCATCGACTACGTCCACACCAGGTAGGGGAACATCGTCGACGTAGGTGCTTGGGGATCTCCAAGATGCCATCTCCTGTTCCATGGAAGCTATCCATTGAGAGGCCCAAGGTCCTGAGGTCGCCTCATCGTAGTTGCGAGCGGTCGGAAAGTCACAGGCGTCCGGGTTACCCTCAGGGACTAGCATCATGGAACAGAGATGGGGAGCAGCCTCGGACAAGAAAGCAAGCTCATACTGCCTATCCTCTACGACATCACTGCCAAGGGCAGGAGCACCCTCGACGTACAGAGGACGGGCAGGGTCAGAGACCAGAGCGGTGGCGTAGTCAAGGCAGCGGGTAGAGGTGAAGTCAGCGACAACAGCAAAAAGAGCGTCAAGACTTGAGACAGGAATAGACGGGTCGGTAACGAGGGAGGCAAGGACCCTAGGGACAAGCACGAAGGTAGTCGGACAGAGGGGGAGGCGCAACAGCGAGTGAAGATGGAGGAGGCGAAGGCAGGAAAGGAGGCAAGACGCGTGGGAACGAAGCAACATGGGGTGCGAACGCTGAACAGGAGGGACAGGACGAGCAGGAGAGGGACGACGAGACTAGACGTGAGATAGAGGCGTCTGGTCAGGAGACAGAGGAGGAGTAACAAGAGGAGAATGAGGGGTGAAACGGGCCAGGGACGAGTCCGGCGGAGAAAACACATGACCGTGGATGGGAAGTGGAAGAGGCGGCGGGGAAGGTGCAAGCGAGCGGTCGGGAGAGGGAAGGCCGAGCTGGCGAAGGGCGGACACCGGAGGCGACTGCGGGTGCTGCTCGACGCTGGCACCTGGTCCACCAGCTGCACCACGGTCACCTTTGAAACACTCCACTCCAGCACCCCAAGAGTCAGAACCCTCTCTAGCACCGATGCCACCCACGAGCCCGACGGGACAAGCCACGACAGCAACCCTAGGACTAGCACCCTCCTCAACGCCAGCACCCCCAGAGTTCACGAACGGCTGCGGCTGCTGCGGCGGCAACGGCGACGGGGGAGGAGGAAAGACCAGGGGAAGGACAGGCGTCAAAATCTGTGCCGTTGGGCCACCAGTGTCAGCCGACTCCTCGACCGAGGCAACCGACAGGAGGGGAGTCATGTGAGACACACCAGACGGAGCAGGACGGGGAGGGAGGGGAGCAGGGGCGACCGGGGGAGTGGGAACCAGAAACAAGGGGGGGAAATGGGAGACCTCAGTTGGGAAAGCGGTGGTAAAAGGAGACAGACAGTTGAAAGTGGCGGGAGTGAAAGAAACGGTGAGACGGCGGGTGGTAAAAGTGCCAGTCGGATGAGGAAGACACAGGGGACAGTGCCGGAGGCACGAACGTGAGCGAGGCAGCCCCAGACGTGGAACGTAGACGTGTCACCAGGGAACCCTATCCAAAGAAGGGTCGGCAAAACCTGCGGATGCTGGGAGCGTGGCCAGATGTTAAGCTGGTGAGCGGCGTAGCAAACGGCGAACGGCCACAGAAAATGGGGCGCACCAGCATGGATCATGGAGGTACGAGCCACCTCCATGAGCAAACCGATGCATCGCTCAGCGACCCAATTCTGCTGCGGGGGGTCCGGCAGGGTGTACGTCTGGATGATGCCCTCCCCATGACAGAACTGACAAAGCCGACCAGAGGCGAACTCGCCGCCGCGGTCTCCTTGTGCCGTGAGCGAGCAAAGTGGAGACACATCACAGGGAGACCGCGGTGGAGGCGCGCAGCGACGAGCCACAGGATAAGAGCGTCAGGCACGTCGGCCTTCCGCTCCAGGGGAAACACCATGGTGTAGCGTGTGAATTCATCGACAAGCACGAGGAAGTAGCGCTCGCGACGCGATCCAGGGACGGGGGCTGGGCCCCAGACGTCCAAGTGCAGGGTCTGGAGGGGTGTAGTGGCAGGGCGAAGCGAGGAAGAGTGAAGAGCACGGCGCAGCCGGCCCTCGACGCAGGGCGTGGACGGCAGTGCAGGTGAGGGAGGGATGGCAGGGAGCAACACAAGGAGGACTAGGACGAGACCGTGCTGAGATATGTAACGCAAACGTGGGAACGCGTGGTGACCTAGGCTGTGGTGCCACAGAAGCGACGCGTGAGTGAGCGAATGACACGAGCACGCAGCGGCGACCTGGGTAGATACAGGACCTGAAGAGGATGCCTCACCCGGGAGGGCAGCAGTGTCCAGCGTAATTAGGCCAGACACCGAGTCCCAGGGAAACGTCGCAAGGGGGGCACCTGAGGCGGTCTCGGTACAGACAGCGTACCGCTTGTGACCAGGGAACGTAGTGGTGACGCCGAGGTCCTGAAGACAGCCGACACCAACTAAGTTCCTGGAGAACGAAGAGATGTGCAGGCCTGTAAGGGAACCCGAGGGAACTGCTGGACAGGGAAGGGTAGTGCAGCTCCGAGCAACTAGAGGACCAAAGGAGGGGTCAACAAGTGCGATAGTGGCAGGTGCGGCAAGCGGCGTGAGGGTGGCGTGATCGTGGAAGAAGCAGGCTGACGCACCAGATTCAAGCGTGAAGGACAGCGAAGCCGTAGTGGAAGAGGAAGGAGGAGCAAGTGTAGAGCCCAGGCTAGAGAAGGCAAGTGGTCTGGAATACACACAGCAGGGGAGTCTGGAATACACACAGGAGCTACGCAGAAAGCTAGAGAACACAGCGTAATATGATCCAGAAACACTCGAAGCGTCAGGATACAAAGAATACATGGCAGAACTAATGTGATCCATGTCTAAGTCAAACATAGGCACACCGTGGCGCAGCAGACTGGTCCAGTCAGGAAGGTCCGGGGCTGGACCGAAGCGGCGACGGAAGAGGTCATCGAGGCGGTGGAAGCATCAGGCGGTCGGGTGCGGACGACGGCACACAGTGACACGAAGGGGCCCGGTTTGGAGCTGGTAATGACGGCTCACAGAATCGAAGCCGCCGGAGGACGCCGAGCTGCGAGGGCCACCACCATGGCCACCACCTCTATGGGCTCCTGGCCACCCTGGCACGAGGCAAGCCCAGGGCTGCTGCTGCTGCTGCGGCTGCGACGGCTGCTGCTGCTATTGCGGCTGCGATTGCTGCTCCAGCGACTGCAACGACCGCTGCTGCTCCTGGACACCAAATCCAACCCCCTCGTCGGAACCACTGTCCCCGCCACCACCACCAGCGCTACCACCACCAGCGCTACCACCACCACGTCCTCCCTTGGGGCCATGGCGGCCCCGGTGCTGGCGTTGCTGTGGGTAAACCACAGCTGCTGTTTCACAGGCAGGGGTAGTCGTGGCAACTGGTGTGAGAGTACGACTCCGTTACACCACTTGGCCTTTTCCATATTTCATCTTCATTTCATTCCTCTTTTTATCTCATCTCCTTTTGCCTCATATTCCCCATTTTCCATTATCCTTTGGTTTCTTCCCTTATTATAATTATATCACCGACCAAGCATGGAATGTTCTAGACACGCTATCTAGCGTAATCCTGTCGTAATCTCTTAAAGCCAATAGCCTCGCGTGGCTATACGCAGGGTGATTCTATCTTCTAGAAGGGTCTATTCCTTTAGATAGGATAAACCTGGTTACTTGATGTACTCTGGAAGTATAAAAGCGCCTTGTACTGATCGATAGTGGAACCTTTCCTCGACACATTCGATCCTGTGACACTTGGTAATCAGAGCTTTTCTCACTCGACCGCGCTCAGCTAAGCAGCAGCAGCGGGGATCCTGCCTCGAAAAACCGCCGGGGGCGACCAATTCGACGCCGATTCTGGTAAGCACCAGCTCCGCGATTTTCGAATTACCCCCTCCGTGCGTGTTTTGAACAGGATGGCAACCTTCGACAACGCCGAGGTTACCCAGCAGCTCTTCGCGCGCATCGCAGCCCTTCAGGAGGAAATGCGAGCGGATCGCGAAGCGTGGCGAAACCAGTTCGAGCGAGTAACTCGACTCGCCGGAGCGCAGCACGAGACGACAACGGCGACGACGCAGCAGTCGCAGCAGTTTCTCGAGGCTCCGAAACCGCGCCCACCTGAGCCGTTCGATCCGAGCGATCGAAACTCCGACGCCCGCAGATGGATCGCCGGGATGGAGATCTACTTCGCAGCCGTCGGATGGAGCTCGCCAGTCTGGGACGGTCAACGCGTACGACTCGCGGCGACACTAATGCGAGGGCCGGCACTCGAGTGGATTGGCGGCAACAGCACCTTCATCCACGGTGAAGCCACGTGGCAGCAGTTCCGCGCCGACCTGCTGAAGCGATTCGAGCCGATAAATTCGAGTTTTCTTGCCCGCGAAAAAATTCATCGTCATCGACAGTTCGGGAGTGTATCACAGTACACGCAGCAGATGGAAGAATTTTATAACCGCATTCCCGACCTGACCGAAGGGGAAAAAGTGCAATCGTACCTCGCAGGGCTGAAGACCGAAGTCAAACGACAGGTGGCAGCGACAAACTACGCGAGCTACAGTGACGTCGTTTCGGCCGCGGAGCGCTTCGACATGGTCAACGCCGGAACACGACGGACGCACGTCGGCAGTACGCGACAGGGCGACCGCTCGGCTCACCCCACGTTCGCCGACCCGATGGAAGTCGACAGATTCGAGGGGCGGCCACGTCCGAAAAACACCAACTACACGTGTGATTTTTGCGGGGTGCCGGGCCACCGAATCTTCGACTGCAACAAAATGAAGGCCGCACGCGCAGAGTATCGGGCACGCAACAGTGGCGGAAATCTTCCGGCCAATCAGAAGACAAAAAACGGGAGTCGCCAGTGATTGCGGATCTAGCTGGCGAAAATAAAAAGATCCGGAAACGGCCGCGGGATTCCGAGAAAATCAACTTCGACGAAGCTGATTCGACGCGAGCAGGAGGAAATGATGGGGGAAAATCTCCACCCCACGACCAGTCTTCGCCAGGGAAATTCGCCGAGGAAAAATCAGACTCCGCGAAAAAAGACTCTGCCGAGACGGGGAAACTCCTTGAAGACCCAAGAAATTATAAGAATTCGTTAAAGCTATCCTATAAAGATGCTTTAATGAAAACTTATGATTTTCGAGGAGCTAGAGCCTTGGAGAAATTTCGGGAGGGACTCCAAAAGAAGCAGACAGCTGTGGAGATTATACCGGTACCGGACAACTTGGGGACCAAATTAAGGAGTGTGGAAAGAAGCCGACCTTTCCACGGAGTCAACGTCATCTCCCGACACCAGCCCACAACGACTACCCGCTCCCCAGGGAAGACGTCGGTGGAGCTGAAGCAGCTCAAGAGGAAGTTGGGGGTCTACAAGAAGCTGCAAAAACCCCGAACTCCCTCTACGGATGCATCCAGTTCTTCGGCATCAACGACACGCACAGTCGTCAAGGAAACTCCGGGCCCTGGAGAAGAGCCGTTCTCCAAGAAGCCTCGGCCAGCTGCTAGCTCAGGAGCAGATAGCAACGAAAAGGTGTGTACGGATTATTGGGATGTACCCTACGACCCCATTAATGAGACTATCTTTGGGTACTCTGAGCAACGCCCGCCTCTCGTGCTCGAGGTCATCTGCAAAGGACGACGCCTCCAAGCACTCGTGGACAGCGGAGCGTCACACACCGTCTGCGACAAGGCAATAATCGACCGACTTCGAGAAGAGTACAAGCCTTCAAAATTCTCTGCAACGATGGTGGATGGCAGCAAGTTACCAGTACACGGCGAAGCAGTGCTACACCTACAAATTGGACCACTGCGCTGGAGACCTGCACTCCCCATCACCAACATCAAAGGGCTTGACTTGATCTTCGGGCGAGACTTCCTGAAAAAATTCAACCCCGAGATCAACTGGGTGAACCGCACCGCAAGCATCTACAACAATGGACGGAGAGTACAGCTACCCAACTGGGACGATACTGGAGATATCCCAGTGGAGACACTCGCACGATTCGAGAAGGACGTGAAGCGGACCGACACCGGGTTCCTGGCGATAGCAACAGAGGTGGAGAATGACGGAGAGAAAGCCTCGGAAACTCCAGAAACAATCAAAGAATTATTGAAGGAGTTCCAAGACATCCTTCCTGACGATCTTCCGAACGAGCTACCGCCATACCGAACGCATCAACACGAGATCGTGGAGGAACCGGGTTCGAAACCGACCTTCCGAGCACCATATCAGCTCAGCCCTACGGAGCTGACTGACATGAAAAAACAGATCGAATATCTTCTAGCCAAAGGACTCATCCGGCCATCTACTTCACCGTACGGTGCCCCAGTACTCTTCACACCGAAACCGGACGGAAGCCTGCGCATGTGCATCGACTACCGAGCTCTTAACAAGCAGACCATCAAGAATAAATATCCGATACCGCGAATCGATGACCTGCTTGACCAGCTTCGGGGAGCTACGGTATTTTCCAAACTGGATCTGCGGTCCGGATACTGGCAGATACGGATGGCGGACAACTCTATCCACAAAACTGCTTTCCGAACTCGGTACGGATCGTACGAGTATCTGGTAATGCCGTTCGGACTCACCAACGCACCGGCAACGTTCCAAGCCGAAATGAACCACATTCTACGACCACTTCTGGACGAGTGCGTGGTGGTGTACCTGGACGACATTCTCATCTACTCGCGCGACATGAAGCAGCACGTCGAACACCTACGACGCGTCTTCGAAATTCTTCGACGAGAACGATTCTACGTCAAACTGTCCAAGAGCGAATTCGCCCTAGAAAAGGTCCAATTTCTAGGACACATGGTGAGCGCTCAAGGAGTTCACGTCGACCCCAAGAAAATCGAAGCCGTACGTACGTGGAAGACACCCGAGAACGTGAAGGAGTTGCAGCAGTTCCTAGGCTTCGCTAATTACTACAACAGGATCGTGCCACAGTATGCGAAACTCGCGGCACCACTCACGAATCTGTTGAAGAAGAACATGCCCTACAAATGGGAGACGAAGCACCAGGAAGCCGTGGAGCAGCTGAAACAAGCACTAACATCCGCACCGGTGCTCATCTTGCCAGATCCCGAACGTGACTACGTCATTGAAGCAGATGCCAGTGATCAGGCCGTGGGTGCAGTCTTGATGCAAGACCAAGGGAATGGACTGCAACCCATTGCCTACCTCAGCAAGAAACTGCACGGGGCAGAACTCAACTACCCGATACACGACAAAGAGGCTCTTGCTATCATCATCGCCTTCAAAGCGTGGAGATGCTATCTCGAAGGACGAAGAACAACCGTCTACACCGACCACTGCAGCCTGAAATATTTGAAGACACAACCCAACCTTTCCAGGCGGCAGGTCCGGTGGATCGACTTCCTCGAGACACACTTCCACTACGACATCGTGTACAAGCCCGGCCACAAGAACAAAGCAGACGCGCTCAGCCGGCCTGCACACGTTGCCGCGATTCAGATCGAAGGGATGAATCCACTACTCAAGGGACTCTTCACACACGGGTACGCCATCGACCCCGAAATTCCCTTGACAGAAAAGCGACATCTGCTACAGTGGGACAGTGACATCGCGTACCGGAAGGGATCCACAAAAATCTGGGTACCCAATTACCCTCCTTTGCGCCAGTTACTACTCGAAGAATACCACGACGTCCTCTACGCCGGACACTTCGGTAGCAACAAGACGCTGACCGGTATCGCCAAACACTACTACTGGCCCCATATGGCAGACGACGTCCAGAAATTCGTCACCTCGTGTGATACATGTCAGCGGATGAAGAGCAGCAAGCAGAAAAAGGCGGGACTACTGCAGCCTCTTCCTGTCCCAGAACAACCATGGCAAGTGGTTAGCCTAGACTTCATCACCGGGTTACCACCTACCTCCAGCGGTCATGACGCCATCCTTGTCGTCATTGACAAGTTCTCCAAAATGGGACACTTCATCCCGACACACACGACGGCACGCACCGAGGAGACAGCACAGCTCTTCGTTCGTCACATCATCTCACAGCATGGCATCCCAACTACACTCATCTCCGACCGAGACCCCAAGTTCACTAGCAAGTTCTGGAAGGAACTTATGTCTCTGCTCGGCACCAAACTCGCCATGTCATCCGCATACCATCCGCAGACAGACGGTCAGACCGAGCGCCTCAACCAAATTGTTGAGCAACTCCTCCGAGCAGCCTGCAAGGACGACATCTCCAAATGGGACTTGCACCTACCCGTCCTGGAGTTTGCCTACAACAACGCTACACACGCCGCTACGGGACAGACGCCGTTCTTCCTCTGCTACGGACGCCACCCACTCACACCACAGAAACCGACAACACCAGCAACAGTCCAACCTGCACACGACTTCATCACAACCATGCATCAGCTTTGGGATCGGACCCATAAGCGCCTCCTTGACATTCAACAGCAACAGAAGCGCCAGACCGATCGCCATCGCAACGACCACACCATTTCCGTGGGAGACCAGGTTCTCCTTGACACCCGCAACCTGGACATCAGCCATCTCCCATCTAAACTTCGACCTCGCTTCTGCGGGCCTTTTCTCGTTGAAGCACAGGTCACTCCTGTTACCTTCCGCTTACGCCTACCAGCTACCTGGAAGATTCACAACGCCTTCCATGTCCAACTTCTGAAGCCCTATCGAGATCCTAATACGATCTTCGTCGGACGCCAACCGCCGCCGCCGCCACCCGTCCTCGTCCAAAATGAACCCGAGTACGAGGTCGAGTCCGTGCTTGCACACCGCCGTCGTCGGAATGGCACCGTGGAGCTTCTTATTCGTTGGAAGGGCTATGATCCTTCTGAGGACAGCTGGGTCTCTGAGACCGACATGGGTAACGCCCGTCGTCCTCTGCATGACTACCTTGTCAAGCAGGGTGTTACTTCTACCACCCAGCTTTGAGGGGGGGAAGTGTGAGAGTACGACTCCGTTACACCACTTGGCCTTTTCCATATTTCATCTTCATTTCATTCCTCTTTTTATCTCATCTCCTTTTGCCTCATATTCCCCATTTTCCATTATCCTTTGGTTTCTTCCCTTATTATAATTATATCACCGACCAAGCATGGAATGTTCTAGACACGCTATCTAGCGTAATCCTGTCGTAATCTCTTAAAGCCAATAGCCTCGCGTGGCTATACGCAGGGTGATTCTATCTTCTAGAAGGGTCTATTCCTTTAGATAGGATAAACCTGGTTACTTGATGTACTCTGGAAGTATAAAAGCGCCTTGTACTGATCGATAGTGGAACCTTTCCTCGACACATTCGATCCTGTGACAACTGGGGCTGAGACGTTTGCATACGTGCAGTGGGAGGGAGCACAGCCCTGAAAAATAGGGACTGCCGTGACACCGCTCGACTGAGCGATTGTGCGCTGGCAAGTCTCTATCTCAGACAGAGCAGTGAAAAAGGTGGTCAGGGTGAGGTCGGCAGGGTGCTGACTAAGGAAGTGGTCACGGGCAGTGGCTAAGCGGCTAGGAAGACGCATGGCAATGAGGTACAAGGTAGCACAGAATTGTGGGGGGAAGGTAGTGAGCTGGGCGGCAGTGCTAGTAGCACGGTAGCTAGTCTCTACCGCACAGAGGTGGGTAGCGAGGTTAGCTATAGTAGGAAAAATGGAAAGATCAGGGAAGAGCATCGGTAGGATTAAGCGGCCTGCAGAGGCGGAAGCAGGCGTGGAGTAACGTGCAACTAGTGCAGCCAAGAAGTCCTGGGCGTTCGTGACAGCGGTAAAGCACAGACGCTCTGACAGGGGAAGGGCATGACTAATGGCAAGCTGCGCTATGGCGTCGCGAGAATCCCAGATAGCGCGAGCGAGCGCATCAGCAGCAAAGGCCTCGTTCTCAGCAGTGGTGGGGTCAGCAGGGAGGGGATCAGGCGCAAGGGGGCGGAGGAGCAAGCCATCAACATGCATAGCCAGGGAGTGTCCATCCTGGCGCTGACCTGTCAGGTGCTGGCGGAGGTCGACGAGCCAGGCGGGGAAGTCGATCGGGTGCCCCTCAGCGTCGAAGCGAAAACAACGTCCGCCATCGCACAGTGTGACAGCGGCACAGCAGCTCGGCGGCGCAGCAACACAGCTACACGATGGCTCTGCGGCTCGGCGGCTCAGTGGTTCAGCTGCATGGAGGCGCAGCGGCTCGAGTGCATGGCGGCACAACGACACAGCGGCTCAGCGGCTCAGCGGAGGGGCGATCCAATGGTGGAAGCAGGGCAGGTGGCTGAGGAGGGCCGGAGGTGTGCTGGGCCGGTGGGACAAATGGGGCCGGCGAAGCGCTAGGGGCCAGGAGAGCGCGTCAGGAGCCGGGGTGTGAAGAGCCAGCTAGGGCGCGAGGGGGCGACGAGGGCGCTAGGGGCCAGCTAGGGCGCAAGGGGCCAGCGAGGGCATGAGGGGCCAGCCCGGGGCGGTAGGGGCCAGCTAGGGTGCAAGGGGCCAGCGAGGGCGCGATGGGCTGGCTAGGGCACAAAGGGGGGCCGGCGAAGGCGTGAGGGGCCAGCGAGGGCGCGAGGGGCTGGCTAGGGTGCTAGGAGCCAGCTAGGGCGCAAGGGGCCAGCGAGGGCGCGAGGGGCCGGCTCGGGCACAAGGGGCCGGCGAAACCGCAAGGGGCCAGCGTGGGCTCGAGGGGCCAGCTAGGGCGCGAGGGCGGTAGGGGCGCGAGGGGCTAGCGTGGGCGTGAGGGGCCAGCTAGGGCACGAGGGGCCGGTAGGGGCGCAAGGGGCCAGTAGGGGCGCGAGGGGCCGACGACAAGGCGAGGGGCCGGCTACAGCTCGAGGGGCCGACTAGGGCGCGAGGGGCCCGCTAAGGCGCGAGAAGCCAGCTAGGGCGCGGGGGGCAGGCGAGGCGCGGTAGGCTAGGGCGCGGGGCGGAATCGGGTGGGTTGACCTACCTACTGATGATACCATGTTAACTAGAAAGTATGAATCATACAAGTGAACAAGGAGGGATATATGTTTTTTGGTTGTACCCTCTAACAACATACAACTATCTAGCTTATAACTTCTACATAGCAACATATGTATAAGTTGACAGGATTGTGGGAGTGGTGTCTCGAAATGTTAGCAAAAATTCTGCGCCCGCAACAGTCCTGGCTGGAAGGATGCCCTGGCTGATGGGCTGGATTCCTTCCGGCCAGGGCATCCTTCCAGCCCTTCTAGCAAAAATTCCTTCCAGCCCATCGAGCGAGAATTCCTTCCAGCCAGGGCATCCTTCCAGCCCTTCTAGCAAAAATTCTGCGCCCGCAAAAATTCCTCCTTCCAGCCCATCAAGCGTGCCAGGGCACATCAGCAAGGGTGGAGAAATCCCTTCGACACATCAGCTAGCGTGAAAAATCCCCCCCCCCCACGAGAAGTATGACTTCATGAGGCGTGTGAATGTACGGAGAATTGAAATAAAGTACGTAGTGCAATATACTACAGTTCTGCGACACATCAATTCATTTCATCTGAAAATCAGACGTGCAATTTTTTCATCAGGTTGTCTGACGAAGGCAAAAAAAAAAGAGGCCTGAATATCAGACAGGCCCAAAAGTTAGCAAGGACCGTGGTCTCATGCTTACTTAGGCTCATAACCCATTTTGGCATGGTCTCAGAGTAGGAGGTCCATCCTGCTGGGCCATCTCATCATGCTTCTGCAGTGTACTCTCCCCCCTCCTGTCACTTTCGCGCCGCCGTGGCGGCCATGTCGTGCTGCCATGGTGACTTCGTCGTGCTGCCGTGGCAGCCTCAACGCGCTGCCGTGGCATCGACGCCACGTTGTCGCAGCTTCGTCGTGCCACCGTGGCGGCGTCGACGCGTCAGCGCACGAGCGTCAGCGGGCCGCGGACTGGTTTTGGCGCCAGCCAGAATGCCAACACGCCAGCCAGTGCGCCAGTGCGGGCGCCTTGCTGCACCCCCCTCCCCCCCCCCCCCCCCCCAACCCCCCCCTGCGTCTCCCCTTACTCCAGCCATAGCTCAGACTTAATACCCAGTCGTCGACGGGCCGTTCCATGATGCCGGGTGCCTCGAGCTTCGCAGTCGCCGCCGCCGTCGTCGAAGCCGCCGCCGCCACCACTGCCACAGTCGTCGTCGTAGAAGCCGCCGCTGACGCTGTTGCTGCCACCCGCCACCGCTGTCGCCGCTTTGCATGAGGGGTCCAAGCTGAAAGAATTTGAAAGGTGGTGCAGGAGACTAAGTATAGAATCTGCAGACACAAGTACTTGAAGTAGAAAGTAATATCGGAAGTACCTCCAGTAACAGCCAGTATTAACAATTTGTAACACCAGAGTCAGTGTTACAGCCTTGCGATACTTCAAGACTTCACCAAGGATCTTTGCTGGAATGGTAGACTAGTAAGACAGCGGAAGTCTTAGAACTTGTTAAGTGCTGACCAGAATTTACTGAAGAACAAGTTAACAATTGAAGTTGTACAAGCTACTTTTATATTTGCTAGAAGTACCTATTCGGTGATGTACCTGTTCGAGCTATTTGCGTTATGCGCTCTAACCGCTACTGAAAAGAGCGCGATTGTTCGCGTGACTGAAATGGCTTGCTGACGTAACCATCCAGACGAGCGCTATTTGATGACGTCATTCTACGGATGCTAACTACAGTGTAACTCGACAATATCTATCGGAACTACTTACAGAAATGCTTAAATACGATTTTATCACATCAGAAGCCACACCTTCTGCAGGGCATGGGGGTGCACGGGCTTGGGGGTGTTGCAAGTTGGGTGGGCTTGCGACTACCAAGCCTAGGGGGTGTGTTAAAATTATATCTTTTATTTATAAAGTTATGTAGGCTGAGTAGGTCTTCTACAGACTGTGCATCCTACTGTAGAGGGTATTACCATCCTTTGTATCTCTCTCTCTTCCTAGTCCAACCCCCTTTTTCCTCTCATCAACTTCCCTCCCTAGCTAAAACCTCGACATGTCTTATGCCTACTTAGGCTCCTAACTCATTTTGACATGCTGTTCACTTTCTTTGTATGCAGATTTGTCATATACGGCAAATCTCAGATCATGGCAGCAAGAATTTTGTGATGATGTAAAAGTTGACACACCGTCATTCTATTCAACCATCGTTAATTACGGCGGCAAAAAGTAGTAGGGCATGCTTACCTTTCCAATCGACACAAAACGCGACGACCACCACTAGATCGACAATATATAAAATTTTAAAGTGTTCACACTTTCAAAATTGTGTATTGCGAATGCGAAGCTGCTTGTAACGCAATATAAGGCATCATCAAAGCGCGCTATTCACCCTTCTCCAACCATATAATGGGGTTGGAGGTCATTCTTCCTCCACCCACGTTTTTCATTTTTCCCAGCTCAATTTCAATTGAGTTCCCATCCCGCTTTTTTCGCTCCGCCACTCTGGGGAAGTTGAAAACTCTCCCTCGCAGGGAAGCACCCTCCCAACTTCTCGCAGATATCCTGACGCATAACCAGGCAGCCATGGCCCCTCCTAGCACCCTGGCCAATCGTGCTGAAAAATCCGCCCGTTGACACTCCGAATAATTCGGAACCCGAGAAAAACGCCCGTGAAATGGCAAGTGATCGCGGCAACAAGTGTCGGGCAGAGGGCGACCTCGCCTCTTCTGCCCTCGACGTGTTGCTGCGCAGTGGCGAGGTCCACCGAGTTGAGCTTGGTGGGCCACGCGTCGGCGAGCAGCAGGAGACGCACGCTGCGGATGGCGCGTCTCCTGCTGACGCCAGCGCGCAGAAGGCGCCGAACGGCAGGGCAGGCCCCGCGCGTCAGAACAAGCAAGGCCGCGGGGCGGCCTCGTCCAGCGCGCCAACACCTGCCGCCCCTGCTTTGACCAACGAGCAAGTGGCGGCACTGCTGGCGCTGTTACAGCAAAACACACCCGCGGTTACAGCAGCTGCGACTACATTTTCTGCCTCGACTAAAATTGAAGATGCAAAAAAGGAGTCGGCGCGTCACGTTCGTCCTTCCAAGACCGCCCGCGTCGAGAAGGAGCTCGCCGCTGCCACGCAAGACAATGCCAAGGAAGACAGTGACTCCGACAACGAGGCTGGTGAGGCTCATACACACGCAATTTTTTTCGCACCCACCGAGCACCTCCCACCTCTTCCTTTCTCTAACCCAACCATCCCTGCATCATCGTTCAACAACGCTGGGGTACGCGAGCAAGCCGAGTTCCTAGAAGACCTGCGAGCGTACCTGAAGCACGCGGAACACAAGGTGCGCCACGGCGACACATCGAGCTCGCTTGAATACTTCGAGGCGGCATACGCGCTCATCGCCAAGCGCTTCGAGCTCCTCCAAGTCGCCGACGCCTCCGACTTCAAGACGGCACACCGCTTCAAGCTCTACCAAGAGAAGAGTGTCCTCACCTCACGAACCTTCAAGCAAGCAGTTGCAGACGTTGCGGCAATGAAACGCGCGCAAGGCTCCTATGGTCGCGGCCATCCCGTTGGAGGCCGCGGCCCTATGGGCTTTGGAGGGAAGTTTGACCCTCCACCGAGCGGCGCCCAGAGGGGCTTCCGAGGCGCTTGCTTTCGCTGTGGCCAGCCGGGCCACACGGCGAACAACTGCACCGGAAATGGGAGCGGGCCATAAGGGCCCGCACCCGTTGTGTGAAAAGTATGAGGATTGTTTTGTGGACTTCGGAGTAGGTACCACCGCACCATGGGGTGCTTAGGGCCGCTGGCCATTCCCTTGCTGGGAAGTAGAATGCAAAGGCCGCTGGCCAAACCCGATAGAGGGTATGAGTATAGGCCGCTGGCCAAGCCCCAAGGGGGGGTAAACATTTTTTGACCTACCTCGTAGTGGCACCCTTGGAGGTGCCGGTTCTTTTCGTTTCATCACTTTTTTTCTTTTTTTTTTGACAAGCTAGAATCCTTGTTGGATAGTGGCCAAGGCTCGAGACTCGAAGCTCATGGGCCAAGCTTTTTCAATTCCTGTTGATCTCCTTTCTTAAAATAACATTGAGAACCCCAATCTGAAAAAAAAAAAAAAAAAAAAAAAAAAAAAAAGGCCTCACAATGCCTTGGGACCCCACAAGGCAGCTCCGTCTTTGGAGCCTATGAACCTATCTTGGGTATCCTTGCCATCCAAGCCTAAACCAGAAGAAGGCACGACTAAAAAACGGGTGCGGCCACGTCAGGGCACACGAAGCCAAACACTATGTTGGGCCTACAATGTCTAGCGCGAGGCACATAACTAGCCTAGCTTCCGTTCCATCACATGTTATTTGACAAGCCATTGGAGGGATTTGGCTTACTAGAACATGCGATGCTTCGCAAGAGAAAGATGGTGCAAGCGAGCAAGAGAGAGAAAGAGAGAGAGAGAGAGAGAGAGAGAGAGAGAGAGAGAGAGAGAGAGAGAGAGAGAGAGAGAGAGAGAGAGAGAGAGAGAGAGAGAGAGAAAGTGAGAGAGAGAAAGAGAGAGAGAGGGAGAGAGAGAGAGAGAGAGAGAGAGAGAGAGAGAGAGAGAGAGAGAGAGAGAGAGAGAGAGAGAGAGAGAGAAAGTGGGAGAGAGGGCAAGAAAGAGAGAGAAAGAGAGATAGAGGGAGAGAGAAGAGAGCGAGAGGGAGAGTGAGAGAGAGAGAGAGTGAGGGAGAGAGAGAGAGACTATCACCCTCGAACGCGCCACCCACAGAACCTGTACCCTCAAAGTCAGCACCCCCAGGACTTGCACCCTCAGAACCAACACCCCCAATTCCAACACCTCCAAAACCAGCACCCCTAGAACCCACTGCTCCCTACTGCGGCCGCTGAGGCTGCTGTGGCGGCTGCTGCTGCTGCGGCAAGGGGGGAGGCGGTTGAGGTGATTGGGGTACCGAGGTTGGGGGAGGCACCACAGGGTGAGTAGGCGTGCCCCTAACAGCTGAGCCCCCAAAGTCAGCCGACTCCCCCACAGGCGCAACCGGGAGGAACTGAGTGGCGTGGGAGACACCGGAATGGGCTAGGCGGGGAGGGATGGGAGCGGCAGGCTGGGAAGGGACAAGGAAGAGAGGAGGAGGAGGCACAAGAGCACTGCAGTGTGGGAACCGCCATTAGTAGGGGAGCTTCTCGTCGAAGGTAACGTTACGAGAGAGGTAAAAGCGGTGGTGTGACGGGTGGTAGAACAGCCTGTAGAGGCGTCAAGCGGAAACCTCAGGAAGACACGAGGAAGGGTGCGAGCTGAGAGCTTGTCCACGCGAGTGTCGCAAACGTGAGCAAGGCTGCCCCAGACGTGGAACGCAGACGCGTCACCAGGAGACCCAGTCCAGAAGAGGGTCGGCGAAACTTGTGGCTGCTGGGAGTGCGGCCACAGGTTAAGCTAGTGAGCAGCGTAGCGCACGGCGAACGGCCACATAAAATGGGGTGCATTGGCGTGGACCATGGAGGTGTGAGCTACCTCCATGATCAAGCCGATGCATCTCTCAGCGACCCCATTCTGTCATGGGGAGTCTGACAGTGTGTACGACTGGCGGATGCCCTCCGCAAGACAGAACCATCCTAGAGTGCCAGAGGCGAACTCGCCACCTCGGTCAGAGTGTAAGCGACCTACAGGCAGGCGGTGGTGGGTGCGAACAGTGAGAAGCCACGGGAGGAGAACGGTAGGCACGTCGCCCTTCTGCTCCGACGGGAACACTGCGGTGAAGCGAGAGAAGTCGTCAACAACGACTAGGAAGTAGCGCTCCCGACTAAGACCATGGATCGAGGCAGGGCCCCAGATGTCCATGTGCGGTGTCTGTAGTGGTGCTGTGGTAGGAGGAAACGAGGAGGAGTGAGGAGCGGCGCGCTGCCGGCCCTCAATGCAGGAGATGCACAGTGGCACTACCGAGGGAGGCAAGGCGGGGAGTGAAGATGGGAGACTAGTGACTAGACCGTGCTGGGACATGTGCGTAAGACGCGGGAGTGCAGGGTGACCTAAGCGGTGGTGCCATTGAATGGTCGGGTGGGCTAGTGAGCGGCAGGAGTAGGACTCGACGACCTCGGCAGACGCAGCAGCCGGCACCGACTAGGTTGACCTGTGTGCAGTGTAAAGAGACCTGACCCAGGGTCACGCTCAAAAGTGGCTAAGTGTTGACCGGTGGCTGTGTCTGTGCAAGCGGCGCGTCTCTCGCAGCCAGGGAACGTAGTGGTGACGCCTCAGTTTTGGAGGTGACCGACACCCACTAGGTTCCTGGCAAATGAGGGGATGTGCAGACAGGTGAGGGAGCTAGAAGGGACAGCTGGATATGGGAGAGTGGTGGTGCGACGCGCGACAGCTATGGCGGAGGAGACTGCTAGTGCAACGCGGACAGGTGCAGGAAGCGGGGTGAGAGCAGTTTTGTCTCAAAAAAAGCACCGAGACGCGCCAGAGTCTAGGACAAAGGAGAGGGCCAATGTGGCGGGGCCCAGTGAAGAGTCTCTAACAGGTCCTACGCGTGACGCATCAGGAGAGTCTACGCCTGACGTAGAAGGGGATCCTAGACTACACACAGCATTAGCTCCAAGGCTACAAACAGCAGGAAAATAAGAACCAGCAACACTAGAAGCATTAGAATACGGAGAATACAAGGCATGATCGATCTGAATCATATCCATATCAAAGATATGAACCCCACGACGAAGCAAGACAGGCCAAGGGGGTACCTGTATGAGCGGACTGAACTGACAACGGTAGAGGTTGTCCAGGCGGTGGAAGCAGCGAGCGGCAATGTGCCCCACGTGCCCACACACCTGGCCTGTCTGCGGGCCAGTCAGCACCTGGTACGTGCAAGTCACCGTGCCACCGGAAGCACCAGTACACTGACTCACAAGGCACCAACTGCCTTGGGCCCCAACCCCCACGTCCTCCACCACGACCACCACCCCCAGGGCCCGTCGGCCCCCACGGCTGCTGCGCAGTCCCCGACTTCGACCAGTACTGTCCTACTGGTGACATGGCAGCTGACCTCCTCACCAAGAAGCTTCCACGACGACAGTACCAGCACTGCGCCGAGCTTTGCGGAATCTCTAAGCGCACCAAGTTCAAGTACCTTGGGAATTACTTCTTACATTCTTGAAAGTGACACTCCAGCAGTAACCCTTTGTCGAGGTCACAACTATGATGAATCATGAAGTGCAATGGTTGTTGATCGTTGACTGACAATCGAACTGACTATCAAGGGTCCGACACGACAACAACGACACATAATTGACCCTGCAATTCAGCATGGGCAGTTACCCGAGTTGTATGCGGTTACCCGAGTCGGATATGAAACCTTAAGGGAATGTACCCCTACTACGTGCATCTTAGTTAGACCCTTTATATTCTCCTTTTCACTATATAAACTATATATCTCTTTGCTAAAATCAATTATATTAAGTTACATTCTCTCTGACAGAGTTCTCGACCAATCAAACGCTTCCGAAAAGGCTCACACCTGAAGATCCTACGGACACTTCTTGGTCGTTCCAGATACTGCCTTTACCAGAGGACGGTAAGGCTAAAACATGTTATGAATAGTACTAAAGGTTTATGCCAGGTTACACATAAATGGGGGAAAATATATTGAGTTGTTCAGAACTCCTGGGGGGCGGCTATGCCGTAACTTGGAAAAAGGAAGCATGTGCGTTGGTGCACTGTAAGATACAATGCTCAAATAGAATAAACAATCCGTCCCTTTTGATGAGTAACTTAAACAAGGTTCGACGTTTGGCGCCGGAAGGGTTGCGTTAGTACATATAACACAATGCATATTTTTGGGACACAATTTTTGTGATTTCACTGAAAGCAACGTGAACAGCCTTCGGCAATGTAGGGAAGCTGCCCTTGGCGCTGCAAAATATGTAGCTTAGCATGTTTCTGAGGCCATTTCAAACTACGTTTCGTCAAAATTTTAGTTTGGGAGAACTTTGGAGTTGAAGTTCTAAATTGAACGCGGCCCAGAGTAGACTTGGCTTCCTCAACCCCTTGGAAGCCTCCATCTCGACAATTTGCCAGGTCTACATTCTCCCCTACCTAACAAATCCCCTAGCAAGCTCCTAGTAGTAGGCTCGCAATTTCGGTTTTTTTCTGTCGTTCGCTCCTTCCTTTGGCAATCTCCGGCAGTCTTCTAGATCTGAATCCCTTTCAGGTACTATCTCTGTTTTCCTAGTTTTCTTAGCAGTTTCTACCTTTGACCAGTTGTGCGCCTCCCATCCTATTCCGCGCGTGCCATACCCCTTGTTTCGCGCGCGTTCCCCTTCGCGTACCTCCTACCCTCCAATCCGCGTGCTGCTTCCCCTCCATTTGCGCCTATCCTCCCTCATTCTGTGCCTCGTCCCCTGCTATCCGCGGCTCCTACTTGCTTACAAGGTATGTCATTTATCTTTCCTCTTTAGAGTTGAAGTCCATTGCAACTTATTACAGTACCTGTGTGTAGAGTTTTCTGCTATAACGGGAGCTTCTGCGGAAGTGCCTAACGCAGATAGAGCTCTCTAGCTCCGTGGTTCTCTAAGGAGAGAGTTGCCTTCAGTTTTGTGTGTTTCACTGAGTAGCTTGAGAAAGCTTGGGCACACCAATTCACTAGAATCAAGAGTATGAAGTATGGTACACAAGGCAAGCACTAGGACTACCCCATTGAACCTCATTGATCACAGAGAGAACGATTGCACGATAACGTTTACATAACTACTCTAAGCTGCGCTTAGCCAAGTCAGCAATGGCAGGTGAGAATTACAGCACATGCTTAGTTGGTAATTTTTACCCACTTAGAAGTAGTTGTTTTAACAGTTTCATATATGAAACTGTCAGACGTTACGCACATTTCTGCAGTTACGAAATGTGCGTCACGTGTTCAATTTCTCAATGTCGCATGTAGATTTTGCTGTTTTCGGTCCAGATCGGTTCTGTGGTTACAGTGGCGGAAAAAATTGCCCGGGTGTTTAGCACTTTGAAACATATCGCTATGCAACACTTGTTTCGAAAATAGTAACACCATTTTTTTCCCGTCCTATTACAAGGTTTTCGAGTTCTGCTTCAATCGTTTCTTGCTTGGCGCGATTGTGACACAACTGGAAAGCGGGGTTGAGATTTACTCCTCGGCTGTCGATGCGGACAGTTCATACCGAGCGACAGACTAGATCTATTTTCGCCCGTCACTCGGTGTGCACATTGTCACGCGCAACAGCTGCTAGTCTAGGAGTTAGTCCTGAAACGAACCTACGACCACATCGCCATGAAGCCGGTAGATGACAAGAAGCGCGCGCGAATCATAAGCATGTTGCGCAAAGGGCATTCGACTAGGAAAATAGCCAAAGTTCTTGGCATAGGCAAGAGCACCGTGCACGATTGCGGTTTGAAGGTGATTGCCAAGACTAGTCGCGATGAGGTGCGACCCACGATGCCCACGGCCGGCCGCCCCCGCTTAATCTCAACCAGACTTCAGCGCGGAATAGTTCGAGCGATTACAAGCGGCAAGGCGAAAAGCAGTGTAGACGCCGCAAAGATATTGCAGGAGAAGCACGGTCTGGCTGTTGACTCGAAGACGGTCAGGAACTCGTTACGATCCGCGGGCTTGATCGCCGTGCAGCAGCCCAAGAAACACAGGCTCTCACCGAAAAACATACGTGATCGTCTCGATTTCGCGAGGTCGCATGCCGACTGGACGCAGGAGGATTGGAAGTGGGTGATTTGGTCTGATGAGACTAAGATAAACCGTTACTGCTCCGACGGACGTGTGTACGCATGGATTCGCGAGTGCACCTGCCTCCAGAGCCATCAAGTCCAATAGACAGTTAAGCATGGGGGCGGTTCTGTGATGGTGTGAGGTTGC